ACCTCTGACATCATTATTTTTTAGACAGATTGCTTGTAAATTATCATTATCATTGGGATTAAATTGATAAAATTCATCCACAACGGAGAATTTTATCACGGAATGAATTAGTCAATAAAATGTATTGAACAAAATAGAAGAAATATGGGTATATCGGAGTTTAATTGAAAAAATTTTTTATTAAAAGAACTTTCATTAAAAGGAAGTTTATTAAAATTTTTAATGAAACTATTGTGTCATCAAAAAACACCAGGTCACAGTCATTTTGCAGGAGACATTTTAAGGAAAGTAGTGGGACTTTCATTAGAAGATTTTTGACGAAAAGTTCCGATACTTTCATTAAAAAAAGACGCTTTAATAAAAGTCTATAAATAGTAGCAAAGCACCAAAACATAAAAGTAAAACAAATGAACGGTTTGAAAGACGTCTTTCAAATCTTTTATTGCATCCACATGATATTCTTATACAACTAAATACTATTGCACATAATATTTGCTTATAAAATAAAGATTTCTTTCTTTGTTAATTATGTAATAAAAAATTTAATATTTTATATACCAGTATATTGAATAAATTGATTAAGTTAAAATTTTTTCAACTGTTTATGATACAAAAAATTTAATGGATAAATTATAAATTTGTGCTCGTGATTCCTAGTGCTCAACTTTTTTCCCGTTCAACTGTCCTCATGCCCAATTTTCCTACTGTCCACATTTCCTAATGCTCAGTTTTCCCATGCTTACCTTTCCGTGCTGAAGTTTCTTCGTGCTCATGTTTCATCCACTCAGAGGACGGATCACGCACGATTTTCCTTTCAAAAACATTTGCACTCTGTCAATACATATCGAGGAGTTACGAGTTATTGGTCCGTTTATCAACCTACCCAGTTTCTCCCGACGATCAGTTTCTAAATTATAAATCTATGCTCATGTTTACGGTTCCTCCGTCCTCTATATCGATGTTGCGAAAATTTATTGAATATTCCAAAAGTTTGGATTGTGATCTGACTTGCAGTAAGATCTCAAAATGACTCTTCTTCGAGAAATATCTCCTTTGCACTCAAATATTTCGATAATGATCCCCGCATCTGGATTTGCGCTAGTTACAGCTTTTTACCAATTACTTGTAAAACTGCTGATAATTGTAACTGTCACAACCACAGCTGTCATAACTGTAACTGCTCATAACTGTTAGACAAATACTCCAGAGTGAGTTAGTCTTGTACAATTCGCATACGTTTTCAGACCGTCCTCACTCTTAAAATGTACATAAAGCGTACAAGACTAACTCACTCTGGAGCATTTGTCTAACAGTTATGAGCAGTTACAGTTATGACAGTTACAGTTTTATAGTTAACTGTATCTAGGTCATGCCTGCAGCGGTCCTAGTTATAACAAAACTAAATTGTTTACTGAACGATTTAAAGCCCTGATCATCTCCTGTTCGTCGCTGACACGGTGAGTGAGTAATAACAGGTATGTACAGAAGAGAACTGCGATTTCTCTACAGAACAAGACAAAAATTTCTTCACTTATCTGAATATAGATGTGAAATATAGTAAAGCACATGCATTTGATAAAAAAGTGGCTGTTACATAGAAACATATTTCGCTCTTTCTGATGTGCTGACTCGATAGAGAAGAAGAGAATAATCGTCAACAACGGCAACAATACAATAATACACACGAACTCCTATTCACCCACCGTAACGAAATGGTAAGTCAATGGATAATATTTTTGTAAACGGGTTTTCTGAAAAGCCTCTCGAAAGATCTTAGAGTTTTGTAAGATCTTATTCTGTATCTTGTATAAACAGGATGCAGAAGAGCCTCAATACTCTACATTCTGACGTTTTGAACTTGTTGTGATGTTTTTTGAGTGAGTAGTGAATTTTTTAATATTAGGTGAAAACAGCCTAAAAGCTCAAATTCTCATAAAACTCGCGTTTCGCTAGGTTTTTAAAGCTTTTCCTAAAAACAAATGTTGCCTCGAGACTCAGCATGATCGATTCCCTATAATCGATCAGTTTTCAAGGCTACCAATAGTTGTCGAGGGTCGGTCCAGGAGCTCGTAGGAAATCCGACACAACGCCCGAACCGCAGTCAAGATCTCACCTGACTTCCGTTTTGAAGAAGAGATCCTGAACTATCAGCCCATGAAAAAAACAATATAATGCTATTGAAAAAGTTTACCCACAACCGGGTTTTTCAAAGATCTTCTAGAAAACCTGTTTCAAAAACTCTTCTGAAAATTATTTTACTTACGAAAGCATGCCCCAAAGTCTCGTATTTTGCATGGCAAAAATCGCAGGTTTCTATCACTTTCGCTTCAAAAGTGATAAGCAATCTACCCACGCGCATGTTAGCTCGAAAACGACAGTAGTATCGCCCGATTACATACGAAATGTATCTAGATTTTTCTCACAGAAGGTGTTTCCTTGGGTTATTTTATACAAATCGATCTTTTCAAGAGGTATATTACTTGATTAAATTCTTATTTAAAGAAAAAAAGTTTTTGGATGTTACTGATTGAAGGGTTTATCGAGAACAAGAAAGAAATTTTGGAAAACCTCTCACTATAAACTGCGGTAGTGTGGAAACTGTCGTCTTTCTGAACGTGCATAGTGACAATATCGACTGCAGTTAGAGCAAAAGACTTAAATAAGTTCGATTATTCATTTCCAAATATTTTTGTATACATTTATACAACATACATATATGTTGTGGCCAAAATTCAAATTCAGCCAAACTAAAAATTTGACTAGCGATCTTTAGCGAGAAGTCAAACTAAGAGCTGAATCTTATTGCGAGTCTGATTCTGGTTGGCTGTATTTCAGATATGTCTGCTTACAATGGCAGCTCGAGAGAAGGTCCATAGATTTTCAATACATTTTTTAATGGGGTCATGTGATCGTAGGTAATCGACGATTCTGATTCTAAATATCATTGTGGCAAGGGCTCATACGGCTTGGATTTTCATTTTTCTGATAACTGGTTTTCTGGTTTAAAAGTTTTTGTTCTCTTAAATCAAGTTCTGATCTGTCCAGTTTGTATCACATTTTGGTTAGAATTTCGGGTGCTACAATCGTGACTTATTTAGAAAAGGTTTTGGAGATTTTTCGAGGTTTCTGGAAAACTGGCTTTCCAGAAATCGGCTAGGAAAGGCCTATGGGCCTGAATGAATACCATATTCGAAATCAGCATGGTCGATTACCTATAACCTACTACATTTCGTTCAAAAAATTAAGGGGACATTTGGGGAGGTTCGTTTCTTAGTAAGTGGAGTTTAAACATTCAGAATGTTTAACATGAGATTTCGGTGAAGCTGCTTCTACTATTTTACCTGGGAAATGTTTCGTCCCACATTTTGACTTACAGTCACATATTGCACCGGATATCGAACCACGTACCAATATTTTCGAGGATTCGATCAATGTTATGTCGTCAAGAAAACTTGCTTCATTTAGTCTCAAATCAGGTGGACAAGCGGAACGTAGATGAACTAAACTTTATACAGTATATGAATTCACAAGTTTACTAATAATTTAATATATATGCAATTATAAATAAAAATTCATTCTCTTGTCTTTCTTTCGAAAAACGGGGTTGTTTGTGTCACTGTTAGATTAAATTAGAATGTTAGAAACTATCCCTATGAAAAATCTGTTTGCATCACTGCTTGGCCTTTTAGTACCTTGGTGATAAATATGCATCGGTTGAGTTCTCAGCAGTGATAAATGAAAAGACGAAAATTTTTACAATAGGCGCCAAGACTAATAAGTGTATACATGTATGAAATAGTAGGTTTGATTTTTAACATAGAAAATTTTTATTCTTTTCCTAAGTTCTCTCTTGTTATATGTGTTATATGGACTCAACAGATAAAATGGTAGAAACGAGTTTTTGCTGTTCATATTTTCGAGTTTTTGCTTTTATTCTTTAAACAGAAGGAAACTGTATAGAGAGAAAAAAATATAAAATGGTGAAGAAACGAGACTGAGCGCTTTCGAATTCTTTTTCAAAGTCTTGAAGAGAAGTGAACGTAACTGGAAATGGTGAAGAGATTGAGACTGATTATGCCTTTTTATTGCCAAATGTTTATCGGAAAAAAATACTACTGTATGTGGACGGCTGTGTTTTTCATACAGAAGTAATAAACGTATGAAACTCAATAAGAAAAAGATCATAGAACAATCATCTTTTAACGAAGAAAATTCGCGGACTAATTTCTGATGATGTATGAAACGCAGTAGGAAAAAGAATATAGATTAATCACGTTTTAATGAAGAAAAAAAAAATTTATTTTCCGGCTAATTTTTCCGGATGGATGTTTTCGAAATGGGAAAAAAAATAATGGAAGAAAATCTTAACCTGTGTTCATCTATATCCGAAATTCGCCAGTGATAGAACAAATGTAAAATGAATTAATAGATCATTTTTGGATCTATTGCCTTTTTTCAATCTCCCTTGGGCGATTCCAGTTGAAATCTCGAACTTTTGTTCAACAGTATTCATATTTCGCTTGTAATTCGCAACCAGCAGCAACCGGTCGATTGAAGTGTGGTTAAACTGTTAAAAAACCGGTGATAACCGGCAGGTTGAAAAGTTCAACCGAACCGGTCAACCGGCCGGTCCAGTACCGGTTCGCCGGTCCGGTTCCAGCTCTGGATTCTGGCATGTTCCGACGTCGGATCCTGTCGGATCTTTCAGAAACTTGTCTTCGGAATCATCGGCCTGGGTACTATCTAAACCACAGAGAAGATGCCTTGATCGAAACGTTTTGTTTTCTGTTCCAGATACATTTCGTTTCACTTTTGCTATGTACTAAACTGTAAAAACAAGTGTCAGTTTTACTAATGAATAGAATGTAAACATAATCACAGTTAGTCTTGAAGAGCTGAACAAGTGTTTCTTCAATTACAGAATATTCTGCTACTTGTCCCGTGTCTTTTCTAGATCCACGGACGTTTCTAGGACCCATCAGTTCCAAACAGTCTAATAAATGGGAAGTCAGGCGATAAAAGGAGTTGATCAAACACGAGCTCAATGGTATTGGAAATCAAATTCTGATCCATGGTCAACAAATGGAAATGAAGAATGGACAAAATATTCTGATATCGAATCAGCGATTATCGAAGAAGCATTTAATCAAAAGAATAAAACAAAACTAGCTGAACTGGAGAATTATTCGATTAACTTAAACGACTGCATTCAAATCAGTAAATCGGATCCAAATGAACAAGGGCAAATAAAACGGGTTCTAACTAGTAGAAATGAAAGTCCAGGTTTAAGAGAAGAAAGATTCTTTCTCCCACCAGCATTAAGTAAAACGTTCAACGATGACAACGGTTTAGCCGCTAATAATTTTCTTTCACGGTGGAGGGAAGACAAGGAACTTTCTGATGCTGAAATAGTAGAGCATGCAGCGAATGGGATAATTATCGAAGGAAAACAACTAGGTAAACATCGTGAGTCAGAATATCTCGCTCGCCAACTAATAGCCGTAAAAAACGAAAAGAGAGAAGAAGTTTACAAGTGTTGCATTCACCTATACACAATGGAATGCTTTCTATATAAACTAATAAATAAAGCGCTCAGAGAAACCGACGCGAGTAAAATAGACACTTTGGGACCATTTTGTTACATTCTCTTCAGAAGCTATCTAAAAACTGATAAAAAACACGCAGCGGAACTGTATCGAGGTATAAACATCGATCAGAACACGCTCACATCGTATGCGAAAGCCACCAGAAGCTCCAGATGCTGGAATGGCTTTACCTCAACTACCAAAAATCGTCAGCTAGCCGAAATCTACGGAAACACCCTATTCATCATCGACGCGAACGAAAACAGCGGATTAGACATATCGTCACTTTCCCATTTCCCCGACGAAGAAGAAGTTCTACTACCGCCAGCAACCATATTTGAAGTATTGGAAGTCAAGAAAACCACAAACAAAACCCATGTTTATTTGAAACTACGGCATCCTGGTTATGATGGTGGTTATGGTGATCTTGATGTTGATGGTTTGTGATTTGCGGGGTCGTTGATTGGACTTGTAGTTAGGTTTTGTTGTTCGTTACTTGCAACGGTGTTTAAGACAAAATGGATGTTGTGCTGTGGGAAATATTACAGCATATGTATACATTTTTGTTAATTTTTTATCTTAGAGCGTAGTAGACAGTGTGTTTAACGGGCGAGTATATAAGCGTTTCACGGTGTAAGTATATGAGAATTTAATCATGCTGGTGTATAATCATTGGGTTTACTTAAGGGGTCCTTGAATAGAAAATAGAATACGGAAAACTAGCGTGAATTGTGCGGAAAAGAAGAAGCAAAGAGACGCATGCATGTCGAGTTAATAACTGTACCAACGTTGGTACTAACTAGGGAACCTCTTTAGGTTATAAATCGCTTTTGAACCCGTACTGCTTGTATCTTGTAGACCCAGTGAGTAGTGAAATATCCTAAGTTGGTTCATCCCCGTGGTGCTTTGTTGCTGAGATATTGAAGTTTCACTCAGTTTTTGCCCATAGAGCTTGGATTTCGAACAAAATCCGATTTTAAATTTTGACTTCAAACTTGCCACACTGGTAGCCCATTGTCATAGTAGTACGACGGAAAAATATTCGGTGCTAATGAACTTTCCTGTCTTGAGATATTGAGCCTCGAATATTTGACCCTCATCCTCGCTTCAGGTGAAATGTTCGAGTCTCAATATCTCAAGGCAGGAAAATTCATTAGAACCGAATATTTCTCCGTCGTACTACTATGAACATGGGCTACCAGTGTGGCAAGTTTGAAGTCAAAATTCAAAATCGGATTTTGTTCGAAATCCAAGCTCTATGGGCAAAAACTGAGTGAAACTTCAATATCTCAGCAACAAAGCACCACGGGGATGAACCAACTTAGGATATTTCACTACTCACTGAGGTCTACAAGATACAAGTAGTACGGGTTCAAAAGCGATTTATAACCTAAAGAGGTTCCCTCGTAAGCAGACGATCACTTTACCCTTTAATTCTAACTTGTCTAATGACAGCCTGGGATATGTTCATAGTCAGATACACTGTAAAGTCGGGATTTATTTATAGAAAATGCTCGGCGATTTTCAAAAGGCCATATATGAAATCCTCACGGATTTTCCAGATTATAGAAAATCGAATTTCGAATAATGTGGGAAATCGACATGGATCTCTACATTGTTGAGAATCATTTATAGAAAATCCTTGGAGCATTTGCTTCTAGAAAATCGTCAGCGATTTTCTAGATGATGAGTGAGAATGCTGATAATCAGAGACTTGCAAAGTGAAAATGACTGAAGATGAATTTTTTCACCTCTGTCTCTGACGGAAACTATCGCGGCAGGCCGATCCTACCAGTCAGTTCGTTGTCACTTGCCCGATCAGGAAATATTGCTCGAACGAGCACCTTGCCCGATCAGGCAAGACTCTATCTTGGAAACCATAGGTCCTCTAACCGGTAGAAAGTGCTTATTCTTCTTCTCGCACATTGTGCGTCAAAATTATATTGTCAGATCGGAAAAGATAAAATGAGGGTTCTTCCCCGCAGATCCGCTCATTATTACATTCACTATTAGCCGCGAAAATTTCACTTTGCCCATCGTGTAGAGCATCAAAAATAATCTAAAGGTCTCGCTTACACTTTTTTGAAAAAACGTGTGGAAAGTGGTTTTCTAGACACCTCAA